TAGGGACCAATATCTAAAGTTCCCTCTTGGCAAAAGTTGGAAAACTTACTAAAACTGAGCTTCTATAAGGCAATGAATATTGTGGAGGGCGAGGCTCATCACATAAAGGTGTATAACATCTCAAGGGTTTCACCGATCACCACGCAACTTTGTAGGCATATGACCACACATAATCTGAGGGGACCCCTCCATTATTGACCCCGTCAAACAAAATGGGGGCGCTAGAGAGCTAATTTCTTATCTAGGCCGAACCGCCATATTGATTTTTACTAAACTTGGTAGATATGTAGAACAGGACGCCTCAAGGTGACTGGAGAAATTTAACTCTAACTGGCAACCAGGTGGCGCTATAACAACAGAAAAATGCTTAAAAATAGCTAAAATGTGACCGATCGCTGTGGCTCCCCCTGTGGCTGAATGTTTGGTTTTTTTTCTTATAATTTTTGGTATGACTAAGTCATGGTATGGTATGCTGCTGCAACAAGGGCTAGCCGCACCTTTCCCATGTGAACTACCAGTGCGCCCCACTTTTAAGTCAATACAACATATAAACACTTTAAATATCTGCCTTTCAACGTGCTACCTCAACTACTAATGTACAGTTTAAGTCCACTAACTATCCCACTATTGACAATGGTTCTACTGTACTTTCAATAAAGCAATCGCACTATCAAATCCACGAAAACTCTGTCTGAATACATTGCTCTTCTTCATGGGTTCAGTTGACTATTTAATCTGCAATTTCCTATGACCTGTATCCCAAACACACACCATGTGAAACTGTACGTGGGCAACTGTGCACTCAATGGGTATGGACTAGTAATAATAATTTTAAGCATTATTAGTAGGCTATTATTAGACCGCAAATCAATAACATGTTATGAATAATAACCAACACAGAGGCACGATGAAAAGAAGGCGTCTTGTACAGTAATGATTTGGGGCTTAATACTGTGGGATCACTGTCACACACTTTTTAATAGACTTCATGAACAAGTACACATAGCTGAATACAATGATGGCAGTTTTAATAGCTTTATAATGTATAGTTGTATATTTTGTATATAGTGTATATTCTGTATATTCCACTTCTTGCCTAAATTTGAGTACTTATGTCAATTCTGGTACACTGAGAGCAAGTCTACCGGAGTCAAATTTCTTGTATGTACACACATACTTGGCTGATTCTGATTCCATGGTTACATGTATGCATTAGCATAAATCAGTTGTGTGATATGGCTTTTATCAGGATCAGTTATGAGATCATGGACAGATTTCATGATCAGCAGATGGATTTATTATTGGTTTAGCTGTTAGCTCAAGCCAAAGTGATCATTCCCTGTTGCACTTGTTTACACAACGACTTTGCAGAGGCAAATCAAATCAAGGCTTTAATCTTGAAGCAACTTCAAATGATGCTTTGTTTTCGTCATGTAAGTTAGCGATGGTAGCTAAGGTTGCAGTGGATCAGTTTTTCATGAAGGAATAGAAAAGCCAACCTGTTCTTATCAAACTCGTCACAAATAACCACTTGGTCAGAGCCGTTCATGTTTACATGACGTGCTGGATATCCTCCTGCTCCTGTTTGTTGTTGACATTCTGGGGCAGCATGTCAATTTACGCCTGTTATATGCGTTGTGACTTTTCAAAATACACGTCCTTTCTCAAAGGATTGTACAGTTTCTGCTCATTAGATACAGTATTTTCAAAATAAACCTGCAACGTTGATAAAACAGCTCGTATTTACGTTTATTTCCTTGTGCAACAAAAGGTGAGGTTTAGAAAAAAAACATCATGATTTGGCTCCACATTCACACCGCAAGCAAACAGCAGGCTCCCAGGTGAAAGTCCAAGGTTTGCTGGAACCACCCACTACCTCTCCCAGCCGCCCTAAAAGGACTTTCCAGCTCCTTATATTATGTCGTTACCAGCAGCGCTTCAAACTGAAGCCGCTCAGCGACAAATCATAGTACTGTGACAGGTGGCGTCCATTTCACAGTCCGGCTTGATAATTAACTGACGCCGCCCATCACTGACATGACAGGGGCTGTCCGGCCAACCAGCAGCATATTATAACACTGTGAAAGGTGCGTCCATGTTACTAACTCACCCCACCTGGCGGCATATCATACCACTGTGAAAGGCGGGTTTTGGCTTCGGTGTCTGACGTCGAAGTCACTGACAAAGCAGTGGTATTTGATGAGTGTGGAATGAGAACAGGCTGAAAAAGCAGCAACAGCAACACAGATTGTGATCAATTTGATTGCTCATGCTCATGGTTTGACACTGTTGCCTGAGATCTGCTGCTTTTTTGTAGTTTATATTTCAGATTTCTTTGTTCCACTTGTAAAGGTGTGTCTTCTTTCCCTGTTTTTTGGGAAGAGATGAGTGTCTTTCACTTCATGCTGTGCTTTAGCTTTCACACAATATAAAAACAGTCATGATAGTTTTGTTTAAAGGAGCCCACAGAGGTGTCCAAATGTTAAATATACAGACAGTATCGTGTCCTTGTGGGATCGTCTTTTTTCTTTCTGAACTGTTGATCTTGGCTCATATTTTGACATGAAAAGTGATCTTTGCTCCAAGAAGGTTGGTGGCAACTGCTTTAGACAACATGTTGATATCTTTGTGTCAACGGTTTATGTTTGTCTCATTCCTGTTTCAACATGAGGTGGAGGTGTGGCAGACCTTGGCTGACTTCCACCCTAAACTGGAGATACCTTTCTTACTAAAAGCTGTGTGTCTTACCCGCTGTCATCTGCTAGAACGTGCACATTCAGTGAATGCTCAGCTCTCTGAGTCAGCTGAGTGAAGCGGTGAACGTGCCTGTTGACAAGTTTTCCAGCGCACGTACACACACACACACACACACACACACACACAGAGGGCACTGTTGGTTACATTTGGACGTCATCGACTCATGACACAGCAACATCATCTGAATTCACTGACTGACTCATCATAGATTTCTAAATGTTGTAACTTTATTCCAAACTTGCTTCCACTGATCAGAAACCTGGTGATACACTCTCACATGAAATGATGAAATAATGTCCAGTAATACTGCAAGATTGCTCTCTCTTTTTAAACTGCATAGCTTTATTATAGAAAAATATACATCATATCTGCACTTTCAGCAGTCAGGGGTCATTACAATAATTTACCATGCCACATTAAAATCAAATCTCAACACAAAAAGCAAAGTCAAGACGTGTAAAGCCTGAAAAAAGTCCTTTCCACACATACAACGTAAGAACATGTAATAACATGTGTTGTTTTTCTTTTTATTTCTTTGATTGATTTGTTCTAAATCTTCAGTAAGTTCCAACTAATGTCACTAATGCCAAATCACTGGATAAGCTCATCCCGTTATGTTTAATAATTAACTTGGATAGCATTTTTAGAAGCACAAATGTAAGTTATATGTTTCTGTGTTTTGTCCTTTATTTTAAGTTTGATTGTTTGTCGGTGCGTTCACACCGTTGGCAAAGCAAACATTTTGTACTGCATGTTAATGACATGAAATGAGTTAAAAATTTTCAACTTGTACAAGAAATTCACATGACGCTGTGTTGCAAAAGCCTATCAGTGTTGAGATCTGGCTGAGATCCTCCTGATTTCACTGAGAATTAGAAATGGTGGAATAACTTATTGTTGCCCTCTGTGTGACACCCAAAGCTCTTCGACTCAACATCAGTACGGAGACAGAACAAAAAAGGAGAGGGCTCAGAAAAAAGTGAGTGAAGCCATAGGACTATATTGTAAGCTGTGAAAATATGCATCTGATACCTGTTAAGCTACAGTTGCATGCAAACGTTTGGGCACCCTTTGTCAAAAATTAATTTAAGGTGTTAATTATTACAGTTAATTATGTAGCAGATGAACTGATCTCCAAAAGACATGAAGTTAAAGATGAAACAAGTATTTCAACATTCTAAGCAAGATTGGTGTATTATTTTTGTTTTGTACAATTTTAGAGCAAAAAAAGAAAAGGAGCACCATGCAAAAGGTTGGGCACATTTGAGCTCTCAGGAAACTTACCAGGGTCTCAGACCTTAATCAGCTTGTTAGGGCTCTTTCTTCTTTACAAACATCATTAGGAAAGAACAGATGATGCAGATTTCATGGCTTTATAATACTCTGACTCCTGAAACCTTGTCCCAACAATCAGCAGCCATGAGCACCTCTAAACAGCTGTCTAGCACTCTGGAAACTAAAATAACTGATGCCCATAAAACAGGAGAAGGCTATAAGAAGATAGCAAGGTGTTTTCAGGTAGCTGTCTCCTCAGTTCATAACGTAATTAACAAATGGCAGTTAACAGGAACTGTGGAGGTCAAGTTGAGGTCTGGAAGACCAAGAAGACTTTCAGAGAGAGCTGCTCATATCAAATCAAAACCCCCATTTGACTGCAAAAGACCTGAAGGAAGATTTAGCAGACTCTGGAGTGGTGGTGCACTGTTCTACTGTGCAGATACACCTGTACAAATCCGACCTTCATGGAAGAGTCATCAGAAGAAAACCTTTCCTGTGTCCTCACCACAAAATTCAGCATTGGAAGTTTGCAAAGGAACATCTAAACAAGCCTGATAATTTTTTAGAAACACGTCATGTGGACTGATGAAGTTAAATAGACCTTTTTGGACCTTTTTGAGCAAAGGTATGTTTGGAGAAAAAAGGGTGCAGAATTTCATGTAAAGAACACCTGTCTAACTGTTAAACACGGAGGTGGATCTATCAGGCTTTGGACTTGTGTTGCAGCCAGTGGCACAGGGAACATTTCACAGGTAGAGGGAAGAAAGGAGTCAATTATAATACAGCAAACTCTGAAAGCAAACATCACACCATCTGTATAAAAGCTGAAGATGAAGAGAGGATGGCTTTAACAACAGGACAATGATCCTAAACACACCTCTAATCCACAATGGACTACCTCAAGAGGAGCAAGCTGAAGGTTTTGCCATGGCCCTCACAGTCCCCTGACCTAAACATCATTAAAATACTGAAGAAATGTGTCATCTTCAACTTCATGCCTTTTGGAAATCAGTTCGTCTTCTCCTGACTTAACTACTCACAGTAAACAAAATTTTGACCAGGGGTGCCCAAACTTTTGCATGCCACTGTTTTTGTTGAGCTGCTTCTTAGCAGAATGCTCTGAGTAATTTTAGTTGGTCTATTGTGACAGGTAACATGGGAGGAGTTAAGTAGTAATGTGCTGCTCTGGACAAGATGAAAAAATAATAGAGTGTTGTCGTTTTGGTTCTTGGTGCTTCAGATTGCGGGGCTTCCGTGTTTACCGTATTGACATGACTTTATTCCAGCCATCAGTTTTACTTTACTTTAGCTGGTAGCTGCCTTACCCAGTTAGGTTAGCACAGCTGTTAGCACAGCTCTTCAGGGCAAATATTCACCAGTGGCACTACAGTGCCTGTATTCCCACGAGCAACACAAGGCAAAAATTTCCATTGTGTTTTGTGGAAACACACCATTATCCTTCTTTCTTCATCCTTTGTTGTCTTTTATCTTTTTGTATCCTACCTCTATTTCTCGTCCTCGTTCACTTAGATTTCATCCTTTATCATTTGTTCCTAGTCTTTCATTTTTTGTCCTTTAGCTGCCGTCTTTCAGTCTTTGTCCTTTCACACTTCACACATCATCCCTCCAGAGACTTCCTATCAGGCAGTGGAGGTAAAGACTCCTCCTCCTCCTCCACCTGCACCTCCTCATGTGTATAAACAGGGGGTGCGGTCGGTGTCGCCTTTTTGCTGACTTGTGCATACACTGATTTCCTGTCGATCAAATCCCCCGCCACTGCAGAGGGAGCGCTGTGCTCCTCCTCTTGCTCCTGATTGGTTGGTAATGATGACTGGTCAGCATCACCTCCGCTGCTGCTCCGCCCTTCACCAATGGTGTGGTAGATATGATCTGTAATAGTGAAACGTTTTACTAATTATTATTCCTTTAAAATTAATTTGTATTTCTCTCTTCATTTCTGTCTGTTTGTCCTACTCATCTCTCCTGACTGTCTTCCCCTCCTGTCTTTTATTTCATCTCTTTTTCAATGTTGACTCTCAGTCAGCCTCTCTAGTTTTACCTTACAGCCCCCAAACTTTCTGCAACTTCCAATTAATTTTTCATGTATTATACCAATACTGATAAATAATTTGGCCCATATAGTGTCAGAAAATAGTGAAAGATCCCTTTATTATTTCCCTGAGTGAAAAACAAAAACAAAACAATTGTCACATAAGAGAAGAGGTAGAAAAGCAGCAAAATGTCACATTAGAGAAGCTGGAACCAGAAAATCTTTGGTATTTTTGCTCGAAAATTATTTTTCTGTTGATTAACTAATAAATTCATGTACTCGCTCTTGTTCTAGTTGTTATGTCACAAAAACAGAGATCCAGACCCTGGTTAGGTGGCTCCCTCAGGTGGCTCCTCCACGGAGTGAACGTGACAGAGGTTTCCTCTTCAGGATTTGACTCTGAATACACCCACACACACACACACACACACACACACAGAAAGCAGTGGGAATTGAGCATCATGGGAGATGTAGTAACAAAGATTCCTATATTCTTTAGTGCTGTCAGTCAAGAATAATAAAACCAAAATGTTAAGCTATCTTTTTACTGATCAAAGGGATCAAAAACAAATAGCAAAGTACCTCCTGCAGTGTCAGAAACACTTTCTGTCTTTATCACTGCTGCACTGCCATTGGTCTGAGCATCTGAGGACACACACACGCATCCACAGCCACAGAGCAAACAAACAAGCAAAAATTTCAGCAGTTAATGGAGCAAAAACTGAGTTGAAACTGGCATTTTATTTATCTCCAGGGAAGAAATAATGCGTAACAGAGGCAGAAAGAAAGAAACCGATCAGACATACATACATACAAGAATAATAACAAAGCAAAGGGAAAAAAGAAAGGAGACCTGCATCATACATTAAAGCTGTGTACTGGTAAAAAATAAGCAAAGGACATTAAAAAACAACAACAACTTTGCATTTATAAGTTTTAAGTAATTTCATATTCTTTAAAACACAGAGGTTTAAACACGGTGGACACAGAAGAGACAGAATGGACATGGTAAAAACTCTCTAAAAGACACTGAGGTATTTGATGTCGGCATGGATAGATTACTGAACAGGCCTAACACTCAAATTAACACATACTAACCAGAAAGTCCCAAAATGACCACAGAGGGATGCAAAGGAACTGCAAAGACACAAAATAACTACAAAATGAGTGAAACAACCACAAAATGACAGCAAAGAGACACAAAACAACTACAAGGACACACAGGATGACCCAAAGAGACACAAAACGATAACAGAGACACAAAACGACTATAAAGAGACACAACACAACTAAAAGGAGACACAAAAAGACCTCAAAGAGACACAAAGCAACTACAAAGAGACACAACAACATCAACAAGAGGGAAACTCAGCACAGAATCTGTGTGTCTTGTTTCATGTAGGAGAGGTGTTGGGGCCCACTGCATATATGTGCCCAGGGGCCCACTGTCTCATAATCCGCCCATGCATGTCCTCTGTGTGTTTTATCGTTTACTGATCAGCCAGACTGACCTTGGTGGTTCTGTGGCGCCCCCAGGTGGCTCCTCCAAGGAGTGAAGGAGACTGTGTTTTCTTGACCAGGATTAAAATCTGAAAACACATACAGACACACACACACACACACACACACACACAAGGGAAAGATGATTAAGAGACAGAAATTATAGGTGAAATAGGTTCACTGTTCAGAAGTTAACTCACCTTTTTCATCATTTTGTATCTCATTGATCATCGGATTCTCTCTCGCCACCATGGCCTCTTCCAGCTTAACCTGTCAATCAACACAACATTAAAGGTGTATTCTTTACTCTCAGATAATATAGGATACTGTTAAAATGAACAAATGAAAAACTCAGGAAAGTTCAAAAGTCAGAGGTGTCTTACCACTCTGATAAGAGTTGAAGGATTTTTGTCGGCCTCAGACTCTCGCAGCTCAAAAGAACGTCTACAAAACAAAAAGAGACAAATCAGGTCAACATTATTTATAAAACCTAAACAACTACACACAGTCCTGTAACCAGAGGAAACATCTTGGATGGGCCCTTATTGTCAATTTTATTCTAATTTTATTTCACACCACAGCATTAAACTTAATTACACTTTTATAATGTCTTGACAACATTGTAAATAATTAGATAATACCATTTAACAGTTTGTCAAGACCCTTGGTTGTATATACATGAGCCCAACAACACAACAGCAACTGAACAAGACAAGTTCCAGTTTAACATACCCCTTACTGTACAGGCTAATTGACCAATAGTTTACACACCATATTTATATCACACCCCCTGCTGTTTAGTCTGTATAATCTCTAAACTCTGCACATGAAGCTGTTTGCACTATTGGTAAATGTTTAACTGCATGTCAGTACTTGTACTCTGCAATAACAATAAAGTTAAATGGGGTTGTCCACTAATCGGAAGATTCAATCCCCAGCTCCTCCAGTCTGCATGTCGAAGTATCCTTGAGCAAGATACTGAGCCCCAAATTGCTCCCGATGATGCTTCCATTGGTGTGTGAGTGAGTTAAAAAAAACTGAGTAGCAGGTGGCACCTTGTACGGTACCCTTGGCCACCAGTGTATGAATGTGTGTGAATGGGTGAATGTGACTCATGGTGTAAAAAGCCCTTTGAGTGGTCGGGAGACCAGAAAGGCACTATACAAGTGCAGATCCATTTACCATGTGCAAATGTCAAATCAAATGAACCTTTGGAATATCTGATGATCCTCCCCCATCTGAACAAACTCTTGTTGTTTGTTCAAACACAGTTGCATATTCACATTTTGCATCTAACGTAATATAAGCTTATAAAATCTGAGTCCTAGCTGTAGTTTGAACCATCACACAGCAGGTACAAGACACTAGAAACTAGTGCAATATGGACAAACATATAATACCTTTTTTACTGTGGCTTCACTGGCTATGCACCAGCACATACTGTTTTCAGGAAATAGCCACAGCCTTGCACTCTAACACTGTGATGTCAGTGTCAGAGAGCAAGGCTGCTCCCCTGCTCCCAACGTTTAAACACGTGATGTAACATATAACACTGGAGCGGCAGCGCTTGTTTCAATATTCCCAGTGGTAATGTTAACGGCTGGATCACAGTGCGCTTCAAAACTACAAAAATCTGGATTGATGACATCTGAAACAGGTTACTGCTTTGTTTTGTCAGTGGTCTGAAACTCTGTGGGATGTCTTCCTTATTAAGTTAACTGAGACACACACACACACACACACACACACACACACACACACACACAGTTTGTGGGTTATAGTAGTGGGGTTAAAGAGAGTTGCAGATTAAACAGTGACAAATTATTCTAATATAAATTCAGATTTATTGTGTTCATCAACAACCACTATGTGTAACAACTGTTGTGTGGATAAAAGCAAAAATAGATAGTTAATAAATGATGACATACATGAAGCATGTGACTTAAAGCTCCAGTTGGTGACTTTTATGAAAATAACTGTATTCATGTGTTCAGCTGTGTGTGCATTTGCTAAAACTGTCACTATGTTCTGAAAGAAGAAGACCATGGTGTGGCAGCAACAACCAGTCAGAGTTGAGGAGTCTCTAATGCAGCTGTCAGTCATGTCATTCACTCTGTGCACTGTACTTAAACTGTCAAACTAGGCAGTGCTGATCAAACATGTATCAAGATTTGGTTACCGCGTTGCCTATCTCTCACCTTGGGAACACATTTTAGTGACTTTTAGCTGTAAAATGAGAAAGCTGTTCTGACTTGTGGGTGGTGCTAGGTACTCCCTGTATCCAACATGGCGACGGGGTCACAAACTCACTCATTTTACAGTGAACAGTCACTAAAATATATTTCTGAAAACATTTGACATTTTAGGAGACTGTAACCTTCCTTAAATTAATGGTGCTGTAAGTAACTCTGGAGAGAAATAGTTGATATTTTTATGTTAGACTTTGAGGTGGTATCAACAATGGAGCTCTATGGCACAGAGGGAGAAGATCTATGACAGACTCTGTATTGTTGGTTTGACTCTGAATGTGTGATTTGTTAACAGAAACAGAAATACAGTACAGGGCCAACTGACTTGTTGCAGTCGCTGCAGAGTGCTGTAAGGAAGATGGAGAGGAGCACGAGAAGGATGAAGAAACCAGCCACTCCTGACGACAGGAACCACGACCCAGCGACCTCTGCTCCAATCGCTGCCATTATCACTGAGAGAGACAGAAATGAAAGAAGAGAGGGAGAGAGGTTTTAAGGTGTGCTGAGAGAACAGGAAGTGAGTCAAGTGATGGTTGACCTCTGTGCTACCTCTGAGTGTATGACAGGAATGTGAGCTAGCCAAATTTACAGATGGTGTGGCAGAATTCCTCAACCGTGAACAAACAACCCAGACCTTATTCAAATCAACACACCCAAGAACTGTACATATTACAATAATTATGAGGAAAGGTTCACATTTTTTGGGTAACTAATTTGTTTGGAATCTTTGTGTTGAGGTCAGGAGTGTAATCTATGGTTGAACACAGGGACATGTCCCCTATGTTTTTTTAAAAAGGCAGCCTTGGACCCTTCCACTTTTTACAGTTCAAAATGAACATTATATTGAAAGAAGAAACAAAAAACATAAGAAAATGCACCTACAAGACCACTTAGCAATGTCCAGACCCCTGAAATTACAGAAGACAGACATAAGGATTTTCTTTTTTCTTTTTAAGAGTCTGACTGATGTCCTCAGACACAATTGATATAAAATTAGCTCATGTTAAATTGCAAATATTCATAGTGACATCATGTTGGAATATCACGTTAACTTTGTAAACATCTTCAAGTTAGCCAGGCACAGAAAATGGCATTGATAAACTGTTCTGTTATCGTATACATGTTATTTCAAATGAGCATGGTCAGTCATCCACTGTGCTCCTTCAGTTACACATTAATGAAAGCACTTTAATTTTTTGGAAATCATCTAATGGGTCTTTGACTCAGCAGAAACAGCTGCCCTTTAGGTGCTAGGCAAGGAGCAGGGTCTGAAGAACAAAACACTGCACATAGGAAAAAAAAATCTCCAGTGTGGTGTTATTCTGCACTTTTTGCCCATAGAGTGAGTAAGTGGCGTAGTCGAGGGTATACACAGGTATACAGGGTATTCCCACTTCTGTTTCTGGCCATTCACACCCACCTATTAGCCAAAAAGCCACTGGAAGGAGAGTATACCCACTTTCTCCTCTGTAACCTACCCACTGACCTAAAGCACCCACCTCATCAACTACAAGTACACCAAGGGATGGGTCATCACTTTATCCAGCTGTATAAAATATTTTGTTAAACCATCCTGTGTCTCAATCTGGATTTTCATTTCAGTCCGGACCAAAGTGGTGGACCAAGAAACATCATCATCAGAGTCCCAAGATAGCGACAGGGTTTAGAATATTCCTTAACAGACACTGGACATGAACAAAGGAATAGCTTGTAACTGCCAGTGTCAGTCAGTCAGTCTGCTGAAATACCTCAACAACTACTGGACTGTGATGAAATGTGATTCATGTTCCCCTCAGGATGAATTGTAATAACTTTGGTGGTCCTTTGACTTTTCATCTTGCACCATCACCAGGCCAACATTTTAATATCTCCAATATTTTGTTTTATGACCATATACCTGCAGAACTAATGACATTCCCATCAGCCTCAGCTGTACTTTGTTATGTTTTTTACATCTCATTAGCAAATGTTAGCATGCTAACAGGCTAAACTTAGGTGATGACCATAGTAAACATACCTGCTAAACATCAGCGTGTTAGCAAGCTGATTTTAGCATTTAGCTCAAAGTAGCCTCACAAACCTATTAGCATAAATAGGCTACTGTACAGGTTTTTATGGTTGTGTGTCCTTTCTCTGTAACTATGAACATAGTTCCTGCTGTGTTTTGCTTTGCAAATTATATATGGAACATTGAACTGTTGTAATAATTTTTAATGGTAATAATGGTCATATTTTCAGCCTGTCCTCTGAAGAAAAAAAACAGACTCCGCTGTTTCAGGACCCCAAAACAACATTTGTCAAGTCGGTCTCACTCTGAAGTTGTCATATACTGGTGCTTGGGCTGTGACCTCTGGCTTCAGACACCAATGAAAAAGCCATCCTTCCACATCTACATGATATGCTGTCGGTCACAGTAGGGCAACAATGTAATTTAAGGGGGCGAAAGTCTGAGTAGGGCAGAAGGGAGGAGTGTTACCTGGGAAGTCAGTGTTCGCTTCCCGTGTGATTGTAAAGCCAAACCCTGTTGTTTTTTTCTAAACCCAACCACGCGTGTACGTTAGTCGACCATAACCATGTTGTTATTAAAGGAAAAAAATGTCAATTTACAGTGTTGTACTGACGTAGTGCATTTATTTTGAAAGAGTCTATGTAAACTGTACACTTCCTGTCAAAACAGAAGTGTACTTCATTTGTCTCTGACCCCTGTGACCATGGGACAGTTAAACAAACTGATGACAATATGTTGTAGAAAATATGTAGCATCTTTCTGCTGTTGAGTCACTCTGCAAATAGCCGGAAAAACTTTTCCAACCACCTGGGCAGCAAATATAAATGTGATTACAAATGAAAACTAACTGTCAAGTTGATAAACAGTGTTTTTAATACTGTAACAACAGTACTGAAACAAAATCGATAGACATTATCAGTGGCAGCATTTCAAAGCAGGAGCATGCACGCACATCCAGACCAACAAAGACAGGTGCTGAACCAAAAGTTAGCAGACATCAGAATAAATAAATCACTCGTCCACTTATTTATTACACCAAGGTGGTGATGTTTTGAGCACAACTGCTCTGTGTAATAAATAAGTGTACATTGGAGCCCTGGAGTGTGACATTATTTATTTTAATATCAGCATTTTAAAGTAGACATTTAAAAAGTAACTTAACAAAATGTAACAAAAAAGTCCTGATGACAGCTGTACACAAACATTGGACAATACATGAAAATGTGCTGCAGGCTGTTTGCTTTCAGCCTCTGTCAACATGCATCAAACTGAAGAGCTTTTAGGCAATGGGGAGGAGGAGGAGGAGGAGGAGGAGGAGGAGGACTGTTTAAACAGTAAACAGCTTTTAATGCTCAAGTCTTATTTACAACACAAAACAACGGAGCAAAACAGCACAACAGTGACACAGTGTTAAAAACTACATTTGCATTTTAGTGTTTTATGGAGACCTAACCCCATCATATAATCATGACTAATGACATGTGGAAGGTCAAAGGTCACAGGCTGCATTCTCCCTCTGTAAGCTATCACCTTTCTTCAGCAACAAATAATTCTCTTGAAAGAAAAGGCTCATGTTTTTCTTACAGCCAAACTTAATTCCAAAATACAAAGTTCACCACTTTTTCCCAGATGCCAAAAAACACAGAAAACTGAGAATGTTAATGGCAGAAGAATGTTTTGGTTTGTAAACACAACCAACTAAACATGAGATCATATTTACTTTCTAATGCCATAAACAGAACAGACAATGTTGTGACATATTTCAAAGACGAGGACACACATGACATGTGATGTCAGTTTTGTTTAAGAAACAACATGGAGTAGTGTTGTAGATGTTTACCTTGCTCTCTCTCAGTTCAGCTCAGCAAGACGTGAATCAGCAGTGCTTTAATGACCCGGACTGACTCCTGTCAAACAAACACAAGAGCATCAGAAGGTGTGTTATACTGTGAGAGATTCCTACGGTTCAAAGGAATCATAGGCCTGTTCATTTATAGAAGTGCTATCTAAAGAAATAAGTCTGGCATTTTGAGAAATAGGCTACCACTCCCATATACATCCATTAGATATGCAGCTTCAGCCAGCAGCTGGTCAGCTTGGCATAATGGCTGTGAACAGGGGGAAACAACTAGCCTGACTCTGTCCCAAAGTAACAAAATAAAACCACCATCAATTAGCTTGGAAAGGTTTCAAAACAAACATAAATAAATAATACAATATAATGTATTTATAGATATGAACTAAATTTGTTTATATTTGAGATAAAATGCATATTTACATTTGCAGATGTTCATTTCAGGAGCCTTCTAAATATCATATATATATTTATATATATATATATACATATATATATATATAAAAGCTCGTAGGACCTTGCATTTAGATTGTTTTGTCAGTCTACTATTGCCAAGGTCTAAAATGTTGAAGAGGAACTATGCTTGTTGTCAATATTCACACATTTTACTCCCGTGGTCTAAGATAGTCCAAAAATATTAGTAAAAATTATCACGTCTCTCCCTAATCCAAGAACGAGAGTGCTAAAACTCAGATTTGTGATGTCATCAAGCACTAAGTCTGGAGCTGCTCCATACAATTAAGTGGGAAGGATGATCTAAATCAGTGGTTCCCGACTGGTGGGTTACAGGTCCATTCTGTATGGACCGCAAGTGACTCGTGCCTGTTTCAAGTTTGAAGTGCACTGAATATCCTGCACAGAGCTTTTAATTAGAAGTGCCGTTTCCTGTTGCAGAGTGAGTGAATAACAGACAGCTACTTAACAGAGACAGCAAACTAGTTTTGATGACATGGCCAAATGCAAGTATGATGCTGAATATGTTAAACTGTGTGGACCTTGAACTAATGACTAAGGAGAAATCTGGACCCCGTGGCTGGACCAGTTGGGAACCATTGATCTAAATGACACTGAGAGCCTGGTTAGATCTGGTATCAACGTGTTTCAGTGATCTAAACACAACTGGACAGCCGAGATACATTGCTGTTCACACCTGTGTCTATTCTGTGTCTCCAGATGACCACCTGTGTTCCAATTTGGTACTGCCCCATACACATTTATTATGTCCACACTTTTGCTAGCTGCTCTGTAGCATGCTTGCTAGTCACATTAGTGGTTGTGTCAGTACAGCTGTACAGCTGAAGTCAGCAGAATTCAACATGTCTATTCCACGGGGCAAAACGAGGGATGTTCATGCAACACTCTGTCCAATTCGACATAAAAGTGGTAAGTTATAGAGCATTGTCACCAAAACAACAACCATGTCCTGTACCAATAACGTCCTTGTCAGGGATGCATTAGGACACATTACTGTTTATAATACGAAAGATATGTGGTCAAATGTGTCCCAGACCACCTTGGCAAGGGGTTTGAGTGATGGAATCACAATGGTAGTTTAGACTGTCTAATTGTGCAACACATTCTCACACCCTGGGACGCCGTGTTAAGGTCAGCCTGATACATGCATTGTCTGTTTTCATATACACCTCTGTTTTCACAGGAAATGTACAGTTTACATACAGTCTCTTTCAAAATAAACACTGTGAATTGACATTTTTTTCCTTCAACAACACACACACACACACGTGGTTGAGTTTAGAACACTGGCCTCCCAGGTGAAAGTTGGTGGTTGTTAACCCCATCCACCACACATCCCTAGTTGGACTGCCACTACCTTAACTTCCGTTGTTGTCCCACGGTGTTTCCTCCTGATGCTGCTGGGTGCCATTAAACAATAACAGCAACCAGCTGCGTATCATGCTAACATGAAAGGACGGCTTTTTTGCTGGAGTCTGACCAAGCACCGGTTTTCGACAATTTCTGTGTGAGACCGGGTTGATTTGTAATCAGATTACCCAAGACACATGTTAACACCATGTCTAAACAGGTTCTGAGAGCACCCAGATGAATGTACTGAGTATATTGGCACTAAAGCTCATTTGGGTACAAAAGAAAAAATTCTGTAGGTCCATAAAATCCCTATTCATTGTCTATGGAGCAGCGCCAGACTTTATACTTGATGACATCACAAGTTGGAGACTTACTGCTCTGGTTTTTTTGCTTTGAAAGATAGTATCTCATGTTCACTAACTGATTGAACTTTCCCAGGCCATGGAGATAATCAGAATCAGAATCAGAATCAGAAATACTTTATTGATCCCCGAGGGGAAATTATTTATGTTACAGGTGCTCCTTGCAAGAGAGGAAAGATACTGTACTGTACTGATAATGTACTGGTATTCATAATTTAGGTGATACTTTCCCCTTTAAAGTGTGCAAGCATTGCTAACATGCTACCATGCTAAATATTACATGTATATGCCAGAATAGCATATTAGCATGCCATGTTAGTGTGTTCAGAATGATGCCAGCTCTAAATTAATAACTTTAATGGATTTTCAGAAAACGGAGAGGCTTGAAAATGTTTTGAAGTGTCTCTGTCAAAACTCTGGGGGTTTACTTGCAAACAGCTTTTGTGAAATGCTGTGAATTACATGTTGCTGTATTAATAGAGACTGATATGATATTGATATCATCAATATAGGCTCATACACATTTTATCACATATTAAAAGTCTCAAAATCACATGTGCCATAATGTGAATTCATGTAAAATGCTTTTCATGTTGTTTGTGTTCTTGTGTTATGTCTTATAATTGACATGTGAAATAGCTGTTTTCTACATAGGCCTACAGTATATCAAATATATATCAAATATATCTGTTTATATGTTGTATTATGATATATGTTACAGTTATATTATTGTTTGATAATTACCATATGCATCAAAGTTGTGCCTTGGACTATAGTCTCATTTGTTTATAATGACTTATCTGTGCTTTTAGTTATTCCTAATGTCTGTGGCATTTCTGATATTCAAAATAAAAAACAGTTGTCTGACAAAAAAAAAATCTCATAAAATAATTCTAAGAAAAGTTTTTCACGTTTAACATTTTGACATTGGAATGCTTTCATAGCTACAGACAGCTGGGGTTGGGGCAACTATACTGAGCCTCTGACTGTTAAAGATGTCAGTTTAGATCGAACAGAAATATAAGGAAACATATCCATGTTGACTTGTAAATGATCTAGCTCTGAATGAGTAGAAAAAATAGTGTATAAAGCCTACCTGTGTCCATGGTGCAGACAGCTGTGACTTCAGGTTCACTGTATGTGAGGAGTTGTTCCTGCTACAGGTTTACTCATTGACAGACTGAACAAACACTGAGACGCTCTACTGTTTGAGCTGCTTAAAGACACACACACACACACACACACACACACACTTTACACCGCACCTACAGTATGACTATGATGGACAGCCTACTGAGGAGACTGGAGAGACAACGTCCTCTTTCTTCCCCAGAGGCAATTGAGTAGATGGGTATCAGAACATGTTTAGCCTAGCTTAGCACAAAGACTGGAAGCAGGGAGGAACTGCTAACCTTGCTCCATTAAAGGGGAGAAAGCTGTCAGCCTAGTCACTAATCCACCCTGTAGACAGCTGGGTTTTGTTGATTAGACCTAACTTGATAGCTTTTTTCAAACTTAATTGACCCTTCACTAAGTCCCGGCCATGGAAAGTAGGCTGACCAATCAGAGCGTAGCATTGGCCAGCTCTGACAAGGCCCAACAACAACACCACGGTGGTGCTCCACAGACTACATGCAAGATATTCTTTATTTTCAGGCTGATTTGTTACCTGCAGAGGTCAAAAGTCCCCCATTCCAAAACCCTGAAAAAGTGTAGCATTAGCTGGCTAGCTAGCTAGCTACTGAGGGTATAACATTAGCCTGTGGAATGTAACATTACACATGCTACTTTTGCTTTATTGGTGGTAACAGTGAATAAAGACCTACCCTATTCTACAGAAACCAGTGAAGGGAAGCAGGGAAACTTTGCCAGTAATCATCCAGTTGTGTGTCACTGCAGTGTGTGCAGATGAACACTGTTTGGCCTATCCCAGAGCTCCCCCGCCCATCCTTGGTGGAGGAGCTCTGGCAGCTAGTGTTTTTGCCGCTGAGTCAGTTTGACACCTTGGGCATATCCTTCAAACATAGGCCTACACTGTAGACCCATCTGCCTGTTTCTCTCTGAAATCACTTTTTTCTTTTTTCAAAAAAAGTTGATGATATTTCTTCAGGGAGTGCAGTTATTTCCAGTGTGGGCTCCGTGCTTGCTCTAACAGACCACCACAAAGGGGTGGGGCCTAACAGAGGATCAATTAGCTAAACTAAACCCAAGAACTGGTGACTAGTTAGTTGGCTAACAAGGCTTTTTTTTAAACCTCACATCTTTACTTTACCATATTGAATCTTATATTTTACCTCAGAGCCTGTAAGTGTTAATCACCGACTGTTTTATTGCTGGTAATATTTTCAGTTTTATTAGTTGGTCCAATCTGCACTAACTTTAATGAAAGGTCCCATATAAATACAAAATAATCTGACCACATTCTAACTCAGCTGTGGTTAGAACCCCTCCTTGACCCTTCCTTTAGCGCCACCATCAGGACAAACAACAAAACATCTTTAGCTCTTCTATTCTATTCTATTCTATTGAAAAGACTCTAAGACGTCACCAGGATGTTGTTTGTTGTTGTGAATGTCCCTGTTTGTGGCTTTATTCTTTTCCTCTGCAAACTGAAGGTGTCTTACTAAAGAATTTAGTACCAAACAATTCTCAACACTGCATGAAACTGCTTTGCTATGCACCCTGCCATGGCATGGCATGTTAAACAATAAAATACAGAGGGAGTGTTTATAGTATTTTATGGCAGTTCCTCTGACCACAGACAGCTGGGGCCGATAAGCTTATTAAAGCCCAATTCAAACTGAAACTGGAACATTATCAGCAGCCCCACCCAAACACTGCAACTGTCACTTATTGCTTGACTGGTGAAGCGAGGCCTGCAGAGCTGTGAGAGAGAGATAACAACATTCACTGTGCAATAAAAAAGTAGAATTCCCACCCCATGGTTGTATGTTTCCACGCACCAGTCAAGTTTCTCTTACAGTTTACATCCATGTCTGTTAAAAAATGGATGCTTCACACACAGAAGATCTATACAATCAGCACAGTTTCAAGGTGGACACCCAAGATTAGTGTCACCAATTCAGTATCTGACCAAATGTCTCCCCTTTTACTTCTAAGTTATGACATTGAGTAATGGCCAGAGAAAGTGTTTTATGCAAAATATTATGATGTCACAGTGAAGTTGACCTTTGACCTTTTGGATATAAAATGTTATCACTTCATTATTTTATCCTATTAGACATTTGTGTGAAGTTTTGTCATAATTAGCAGTATAATTCTTGAGTTATGGCAAAAACATGTATTGTGAGGTCACAGTGATCTTGACCTTTGACCACCAAATTTTAATCAGCTTATTCTTTAGTCCAAGGGAACATTTATGACAAAGTTGAAGAATTTCCCTCAAGGTATTTATGAGATATCACGTTCACAAGAACGAGAAAGATAAGGTGACAATGACCTTGATCTTTGACCACCAAAATCTAATCAGTTCATCATTGAATCCAAGTAGATGTTTGGGCCAAAGTTGAAGAAAGTCCTCCAGGGCGCTCTTGAAGTATCGTTTTCATGGCAGGCAAGGTCACAGTAACCTTAATCTTTGACCTATGACCACCAAAATTTAGTCAGGTAATTGTTGAGTCCAAGTGAACATTTGTGCCAAATTTGAAGAAATTCTCTCAAGGTGTTCTTAATAATAAGGGGGCAAGTACTTACGGACATAGGGACAGATAAACAGAAATCATAATGTCTCCGGCCATGGCTATTGCCAGCATAAAAAACATAAAACTTGTTACTCATCACTACAGTGTCTAGTCATGTAAACTGTTTCAGCTGTATGTGAAGGTATTTTGAGATATTTACCTCCGCCCAAGCGAGGTGAATTGAATTTTTGTTGTGTTGTTTGTGCTCAAAGGATTTAAAAGTTACATTTAAAATTTAACAGCAACATGGCTTTCCAAAAACAATGCCCCAGTATCTCATCATTTTAAGAAGTCAGTAAAAATATTATGTCAAATCAATTTAAGATAAAATTAAACTGTAATTTATTAAATTTATGCAAAGAAATTAGTATATTTTTCCTTAGACTGTGACTATCAGTGAAGTCTCTTAACAAAGGGAGGAGGACTTAAATACAGAAAAAGACACACCAGGCAAGCAGGTAGGATAATTTGAAATTTACTCAAGGATAAGGTCAGGATCAGGCTTACAGGTTTGCAACAGGATGGCAGTTTGAACAAACACATCTTAGAAGGGCACAACAGGTGAGCAGGGCAGGAACAGGCTGAAGATTGAAAAGATAGGAAGTTCAGATTCAGATGGCTACAAAGAAAAGGTATAAGCAACATCGGCAATCTATCCAGAATAAGGAGGAGATGGGCTGGTATTACTGTAACTGTGAGGCATCATAGGGGAATGAGGGGCAGATGGATGAGAGTCAGGTGACTGGGACAGATGGAAAAGTCTGAGGGCATGTGGTAGATTGGTAGAGAAAGGCAGTGAGGAGTAGAAGTACAAAAATGAACTCTTATGCAGACATTGTGACTTTGCATATATACATATATACATATATATATATATATATATATATATATATATAATTGTCATACATTTGTTTATATTTAATATATGTATTATGAAAGACCTAATGAGAAATAATATCAAATTTCCCCCCAACAGAACACATACACCTCTGGGTGGTGCCCTAGGTGACTTTCTGTGTCGATGCATAAATAGTAATAACTAGTAATAATAATAATAATAATAATATGATAATAACTAGATATGGCAAGATGGCACCTATTCATGTCAATGGAGTTGCTTGCCTAGTGCAAACACCAAAAAAAGCTTCTATGCCTAGTAGTGTTTCTTCCACTGGCCCTGCCTGTGAGTTTGCCAGCCCAAAGTCTTTACATTGTGATGATGTCACTGAGTTTTAAATCTTTTTTTTCTGCTCTGTGAAAGCTTTACAAATATAAAATCAACACAGCTTAATGTTCATAATAGAAAGACTTATAAAAGACCTTGTTGCAGTTCAAGGTGTCCTGTCAGTTTCACAGACATCTCTTTTATAATGGTAATCTTTGGGGAAAATACTCTTTTGGTCTTAGGGGGTATTTCGCTGCAGTATTGCAAATGGTCACTGGGAAAAATTGGCTGCAAGGCTGAGCAGCATTCCTGGGGGTCTGATGTCACCACTGATAGCACACCCTATTTAAATGCTTTCTCTGGGTTGTGCATTTTAAAGTTTGTTTATTTGCTTTGTAGTTTGTACTACTTACTACAGTATAACAGACAATTTTGAACAAACTGGGGCTCCAAAGTGTTTTTTTAACCCCATTGTGACATCACCACTTGCCGTACGTTACTCTGCTTCGTGATTCAAGTCACAGAGTAACTTACTCCATGCTGAGGACACAGAACTACTTGTTAGTGGTTATACAGAGCTAAAGTCATAATAATACTCCCTGTCTATGCTCCACCTACTTCTGTAATTTGGTGTAATCTCAAAGTTTTTGGACATTTATCTTTCTAAAATAATAAGCATGTTCCACGAGTTGACTTTCTATATTCTGAGACTAATCAGCTTCACCACAGCAGCTACTATTAGGAGCTAAAACTTTCATGATTTTAACATGATTTTCTGTGATCATACAAATAAATACAGTCCATAGTAACTTGGTTTCACTCATTTTGCAATATTTGACGTGTTATCTCACCTTTACAGTGTTCAGTCCTCTTTGCCCTGCTGTTATTATAGACACGTCTGTAGGGTTATGGTTTGTATTTCATATAGGCAGTTTATTGTGATCATTATAGACAAAAAGTCAGGAGAACTCAAATCCATTTGTCCGTTCCAGTTCAATGTTTAAAGGTGAGCTGATTTTACACAATTTTATTCTGAATTGTTTTTTACAGTGTCTGACTGCGTGTTACTGGGCTGGTAAAACATAAAACATCGTATAATATCAGTAACCAGAAAATCCAGAAGATCAGTGCTGGAGCTTGATGATGATCTTCTGCCCTGAGGTATGAGGGGCTCACACACACACACTTGCACACACACACACACACACACACACACACACATTTAAAAAACTCTCATGTTCGTCAACTACAAAGTAAATCCCTCATGTGTACATGAAGTCACATCTTCTACCCTCTCCTCCTTCTTCTTCTTCTTCTTCTTCTTCTTCTTCTTCTATCTTTGCTCTTTCGTAAGCTGAGCTTGAGCTCGCCTCCTCATGGTGAGTGCTGTCATCATGCAGCAGAGTGTCAGGCAGGGGAATGAGGTGCAGGCCAGCAGGAGGTGCTCCTGTCCAAACTCCCTGACCAGTGCCGGGCGTCGCCAAAGAAAGTCGTGGAACAGCGCCTCCTGCTGGGCCAGTGTGCAGAACGACAGCAGAATGTGGAAGAGCTGGTGGCTGTGACCAACAATGTCATAGCGTCCTGAGGAGAAACGCTCGGGAATGGGGCAAGAGAAAAAGAAAGCTGACAGCAGAAACAGCGCCACCTGGTGGAGAAATGATGGAAGACAGTTTGGGAGAAATCTGATTACTGACCTGCTGCATGTTTACATGAACTTACCCTCAGCAACAGGTCTAGAAAATGTTGTCTAACCATCAAGTGTGACTCCAAATATGTTCCCATGTCTGTTTCAGTCATAGTGGGGCAGAGGACAGCCTGACAGATAGATGTAGGAATGAGAAACTAATTGGGAGCTCTGTGAAGTGCACAAACAGTGAAGCACCTGTTTGTGCAGTCAACCCTAACTTCCACTGTAGCACAATAAAATGTTTCTCCATTATTACTGTCACTTTCATTTACATTAATTAATATTTACTTGACTAGAACTGTCCCATTCTATCTTCCAAGGATCATAGAACAAAATTGTGTTTTTGAGTTTGTTTTTATATTCAGACAATTGTAGTGAAAATCTCAGGATGGAGACTAGATTTAAGTGAAACTAGAAACTCATAATTGCTGTGTAATGTATGGAAGCCCTGAGAAATTTTTTGTTTGTTTGTTTGTTTGCTTGGTAAAAAAGTAAAACTCACCTGAAAGAGAACATGAATGGTTTTAGTCCTATGTATAACATGGGGTAGTGGCCCACTCTTGTGGTCAAAATGAGTAATACAACAACAAACATTTAATAAAATGAGCCTGTGTGTGTGTGTGTGTGTGTGTGTGTGTGTGCATGTGCGTGTGTGTGTGTGTGTGTGTGTGTGTGTGTGTGTGTGTGCTTTCAGATTTATTTTTTTTTTTCACTGGCCAAAACTTGTTCTCACCTCACACAGAAAGATCATCACCAGATTAGGCAGTTAAGAAAGCACAGAAAGAACAGATCCTGGTGCCAAAGATTGAAATCATTTAAGAAGTTATTGGTGCTGTGCGATCCCTGTGTAAATGATCTCTTAAGGCCCTGACACACCAAGCCGACTGTCTGCTGTTGTTGTTAATGTGCTAACTGGCTAACTAGTGTCTTGAATCAGTCCTACTGGTCTTCCAGTTTTCCTTTTGAATGACAAATACAGACTACCACCACCTGCTGCTACGGAACATTATTTCCTTTCATGCAGGCACCGAACGTAGGTGCTGGTTGGCCATTGGCTGCAGTCTTTGCTATGAGATCAGGTTTAACTTTTTAGGTGAGACACAGGTAACATGAGATGATGCAACAGTAGGCTTTTGTCGCCGCTAAATTTCAAAGTACTACATATAGAAACTGTAGAGAAGTGTGAAAAAGGCAAAACTCAACATAGATGAATGATGCTGCAGAACTGTAGTGTAGCAAAAACTATGAATACTAAATGATGAATAATTACAATCTATTATTTCTAATTATAATTATTTTTTCAGCTTCAGACCCACAGGCTAGCAGGGTGGTACCTTGGGGGCACATGCCCCCCCCCCACTTACTGTATGTGCATGTAAACTAGTTCTCTGATTACCTGTGTGACCTGGTTCTAACTGTGTGTGCATGTAAATGTACTAACTGATTAATAGATAATTGGATATTAAATCACTACAATAATAAAGTCAATGAACTGCTGAGTGAATAAAAAACATCACCTGCATGAAGTGCAGTGTCAGTGCAGAGTTGCTTGTCCAACTCTGGGTGGCGAGGCGATGTGCGATGGGGCTGATGTCCAGCAGGTAGGCCACGCCCATAGGCAGCACCTGGCAGAGCTTCCTGTGGAGCGGGTACGGCCGCCGGAAACGAAGCTTCGCATAACAGCAGGTGGTGCAGGATATCCAGGCAAGGAGGGCAGCGGCTGGGAGGAAGACCTTTGAGAAATGACATCATCACTACATCTGAACACATTGCCAGAGGGTAGATGTAATACAGGCAAAGAGCATGGATACCAAGCGGCGAAGCTCCATTGAATTTTTGCCAACAGCCACTAGGGGCGCTGCGGTAGCGCTGCTGCCATTTTGGACTTGAGCTTGGACTGTTGCGCCCAGACAACATGCAAGATGTCAAGGAGAGAGGAGAAAAAAAGTAAAAGAAAATAGTGTAGTGCAATTAACTGCAACAACTATCAGTGGAACACCCCTCACCTGGCCTTCTACCGTTTCCCGAAGGATCCCGACAGGTAAGAACTCCTGAGGTGTAGGCTAAGATTTAAAGTGTTTTAATATCAATTTAATATGCCAGTTTTGGAGGGAAGATAACACTTATATATAGGGCCTACATCCACTTATGAGAAGATTAACTTAATTACTCCTTCAAAATCACCCCCATAAGCCAATCTACCAACATATATATATATATATATATGTATAAGCAATATCACACGAGAGGAAGTGGTTATACTCAGCTGTGAGGCGGAGTGATATATACACAGTGAAATAACCGTGATGTTGTACTCCAATATCGTCACGGTTTTACTGTCTGTCGACCAATCAGTTTGCAGGGCCGGAACTAACTGTTGTATATATATCCACCTTATTTTTCACGGAAACACGGAGGCAAAACAGAACGCACGACACTTCCGGTCCAGCACTCTTACTACTGTGTAAATGGGAATCGCCTTGTTGTTTACCTTGCTGAGTTTAGCTATATATATGTATATATCACATTATTCACGTCACTATATCACCGTTTAGACTAATCTGATGTTTGTAAAGTCTATAAACACAATAACTGAACAAACATTAGTATTTTCTCTGTGTGTAATTAATAACATGGTTATCGTAGATTAGCTGGGCTAACCGTTAGCTGTTAGCCGTTAGCCGTATCTGTAATAACTCACTAAACTCAGAAAGTGGCCCGTGAAAAAAATATTTTCTCCAGCGCTGGAGAAAATATTTTTTTCACGGGCCGCGCGGATGTCTTAGTTACAACATGATTGAGCTAATTGGAGTAGTTTCATGTCGTATCTGACAACGGGAGGCTTTTAACGGATGACGATCCTGATGTTAGCTTTGCTGCTAGTGTTAACGTTAGCTGTCCCTGTCAGCTGCAGCCACTGATGCTTTCTAGACATCGTGATTTCCCAAAACTGAATAAATACCACACATAGCAACACAAAACTGCTTTGCTAGCTCAATAACAGCTGGATGGTTGATGCGTACATGCTGATTCGGGTGCTATCAGAGCCGATCTGCGCATCACTATGGCTTAATCATCAACTCAGTCAATTAAAACAACCCGTCCTGTGTTAGGAGTGTATGTCGCTGACAGAAAGAAAGAAAGAAAGAAGAAAAGGGAAAAAAAGATAGAAAAGCAGCGTACACCTCACATATTTATTTCTCACAGTTGCGCACACGTGTGGCTGGCATGCAGAAGCACCGTCTGTGTGTCTGTGTGTCGAGGGTGCAAGCCGCAGCTTCAGCTGCTCAGGTAGAGAGGCTGTGTAGCCCGGTGTGTTTTTTCGCTGATTCGGTTCTGCAGGTTCTCTGCTGGTACACTGGAAATGGGGATCAAGCAGTTTGTCTCACTCGGGATAGATTGTGCTTTTTTGGTTCATAGTTTATGATTGAAGTGCAATTTATTCACGTTTAGAGAGAATAAATTTCCGTTATAACGGAAACGTGGGCACAGTTATCTATACAAAATACACAGATTAACAAACTAACTGATTGACTAACATAAACAACTGAAAATTGAAAAAAAAATTAGCTTGCACCGTTAGCTCCGGTAAGGGAAATCATGAGGGAAAGCGGCTGACCGGAAGTCACGCACAAAAAAACGGAAGTTGATCACTATTTACTTCCGTGTTTGAAAATAAGGTGGATATGGGGCATTCTACCGAATGTGTGCAAAGTTAGGCTGGAAATATTTTGAAATTTTGTATGTTTTATTTCCAAAACTTTGTCCCTATATATATTGTACCATATGGAAAAGTTACATATCTAGGAAAATGACTGTAAATTTTTATATTGTATTTTCAGACTGTTTTGGAATGTTTTTCCTCTCCCAAAATTTGTCACTACCAAAACATATAGTATTATATTATACAAAAAAATATATATCAACCTGTTATGCTTGATGCGTCCCTTGTCTAAACATTTAAATTTTTACAAAATTTGACTTAAGGTTTTCACAATTAAATCTATAAAAATTAATATTTTAACAAATTTTGAAGTTCAAATTATAGAATTCTTCAAAATCTAAATGCAATCTTTCTTTGTAAAATGCATAACGCTGATCAGATTGAGTTCAGAGTTAATAATTGATGAAACAGAACATAAATGTAACTGATTAGCATCATAATACTTTAGTTGATAACTCAATATACTTTATTTTTTACAAAACACCCAGTGTTTAGGTAATGACTGCACTGTTTCGGAAGTGACAGTCCTGTTACAGTAGTGACCATTAAACTGTTTTTAAGGTTGCATCATATTTCCTCAAATGTATGCCTTATGGTGGGAATTACAAATTCAAAGACAAATGTTTTGTGGTCAATAAAACAATTTAATTTTTGAGAGGGCAGAGCAGAGTAGAGTAGAGTAGAGCGGAGCAGAGCAGAATAGAGCAGAGCATAGTAGAGTAGAGTGGAGAAGAGTATAGTAGAATAGAGCAAAGTAGAGCAGAGTAGAGCAGAGTAGAGTAGAGCAGAGAAGAGCAAAGTAGAGTAGAGCAGAGTATAGAAGAGCAGAGTAGAGTAGAATATAGTGTAGTAGAGCAGAGTAGAGCAGAGCAGAATAGAGTAGAGAAGAGTAGGGTAGAGAAGAATAGATTATAGAGTAGACAAGAGTAGAGTAAAGCGGAGTATAGAGTAGAGCAGAGTAGAGCAGATTATAGAGTAGAGCAGAGCATAGTAGAGTAGAGCAGAGTAGAAAAGAGTATAGTAGAGCAGAGTATAGTAGAGCAGAGTAGAGCAGAGTAAAGCAGAGCGGAGTATATCAGAGTAGAGCAGAGTAGAGCTAAGAAGAGCAGAATAGAGTAGAGTAGAGCAAAGTAGAGTAGAGTAGAGCAGAACAGAGCAGAATGGAGAAGAGCAGAGTAGAACAGAGTAGAGAAGAACAGAGTAGAGTGGAGTAGATTATAGAGTAGACCAGAGTAAAATAGAGTAGAGTAGACCAGAGCAGAGTAGAGTAGAGCAGAGCAGAGTTGAACAGATTATAGAGTAGAGCAGAGTAGAGTAGAGCAGAGCAGAATAGAGTAGAGTGGAGTAGAGAAGAGTATAGAAGGGCAGAGTAGAGCAGAGTATAGTAGAGCAGAGTAGTGTAAAGTAGAGCAGAGTAGAAGAGAGCAGGGTAGAGCAGAGTAGAGCAAAGTAGAGCAGAGTAGAACAAAGTATAGAGTATAGTAGAGCGTAGTAGAGTAGAGCAAAGCAGAGCAGAATAGAGTAGAGCATAGTAGAGTAGAGCAGATTATAGAATAGAGCAGAGTATAGTAGAGCAGAGCAAAGCAGAGCAGAATAGAATAGAGTAGACCAGAGTAGAGCAGAGCAGAATAGAGCAGAGTATAGTAGAGTAGAGCAGAATAGAGTAGACCAGAGTAGAGCAGAGCAGAATAGAGTAGAGCATAGTAGAGTAGAGTAGAGCAGATTATAGAATAGAGCAGAGTATAGTAGAGTAGAGCAGAGCAGAGCAGAGCAAAATAGAGTAGAGTAGAGTAGAGCATAGTAGAGTAGAGCAGAGTAGAGCAGAGTATAGTAGAGTAGAGCAGATTAGAAAAAAGTAGAGCAAAGTAGAACAGAGCAGAGTATAGTAGAGCAGAGTAGAACAGAACAGAGCAGAGTAGAGCAAAGTAGAGCAGAGTAGAACAGAACAGAGCAGAGTAGAGCAAAGTAGAGCAGAGTAGAACAGAACAGAGCAGAGTATAGTAAAGTAGAGCAAAGTAGAGCAGAATAGGACAGAGCAGAGTAGAGTAGAGAAGAGTAGATTATAGAGTAAAGCAGAGCAGAGTAGACCAGGGTAGAGCAGAGCAGAGAAGAGAAAGACTTTGGACCACAAAATTATGGGGTTTAACTACTGACCATTCCATTTTGTCACTACCGAAATGATCATGTCACTACCCAAATTTTACCATAGGTTTTGGTAGTGACTGTTTCGGTAGTGACATTCCTAGCTATTTTTCAGGATAACTAAAGAATGCTAGCAGTCACATGGCTAACAAGCACATCTTGTGTTTCGGTAGTGACATGAAAACAAGGGATATTATTTTTTTAGCATAGTTTCTTAATTTAAAAATTAATCCCACAATACATCTAAATATTTCAACTTCTGTTTAAACTTAATCACAAAGATGTTTTAAATTACACTTTTGAAAAAAAATACGAAAAATGTTTTAAGTGTTATTTACATGAATTGAATTTTAGAGGTCAGGGTTGGGGACAGCTACTTCCCAATAGAAAGTACCCTATAAATGGTAATTTTGTATTTATTTAGCTTATCACTTTTTCATTTAATGTCCTGGGTTTAAATAGGTCATAACATAATCTTTGTAAATATCTATGTCTGAATACTCAATTTTATTATTTTTGTTGTTTTTTTGGTAAGGGACAGCACTTTGCACAATATCAGTAGAATGCCCCATATATACAGTACAGGCCAAAAGTTTGGACACACCTTCTCATTCAATGCGTTTTCTTTATTTTCATGACTATTTACATTGTAGATTCTCACTGAAGGCATCAAAACTATGAATGAACACGTGGAGTTATGTACTTAACAAAAAAAGGTGAAATAACTGAAAACATGTTTTATATTCTAGTTTCTTCAAAATAGCCACCCTTTGCTCTGATTACTGCTTTGCACACTCTTGGCATTCTCTC